TATCTTGTGTTGTATTTATGTACTCATGATACTTTACCTGTGTTGTTTTGAGATGGTCATTCTTCCTTATCTTTTTGACCAAAGTAAAAGTAAAGAAAACTGATTTTCATGGAGAACTTGAGTAAACTTAGGTGTCCCAATGTGATATGTTAAGCTTTATGTATATGCAAACCTTCCAGATACAAATGAAAACTTACTGGTTTATCTTTCACTAGACTAGAATATACTTAAGCCTCTGACTCTCATATATGTATATATTACCTAAAATTACCTTCCTTTCATATATACATACATATGTATGTATGGGAGTAGGGGACTTAAATGTATTTTGTCATTAAACCATTAAACTTGCTGCCCCAGCTTTCTTTTGGTTCATATTTGCCTGGAGTTATGGGAAATCTTTTTTTTGGGAAACTCTTCTGAATCGGTTTGTATTGTGTGTCTTTTGTAAATAATACATTGCTGGATTTTGTTTTTTTATCCAATCTGAAAATCTTTTCTGGAATTTCAATTCCAGATGATTATGGGTGAACTTTCTCTAGTTTTCTTTTTAGTTATTGATTACTTAGATTACAATAATTGCTCAATTCTAGGCCATCCTTTACTTGCCTTACCTTGTTGATTCTTCCTGAATTTATTTCCCTTCTTACCTGCATTATATTCCTCAAGACTTCTTTTAAATAATGTCTTTATGTGGTGAATTTTTTGAAACCTTGCATGCTGAGAATTTCTTTATATTTATTTGTATTTAAATAATAGTTTATTAGCTATATGTTAATTCTTGGTTCACAGTTCTTTTCCTGTAACACTTTATCTTGAGAGTTATTGTTACTCCATTATCTTCTTGTCTTCACTTTAGTGTTGAGAAATCTAATATCAGTGTTATTCTTCCTTTGTGTAGGGGTCTCCTTTTTCATTCCAGAAGCTTTTTGACTTCTCTTAATCCATTATAGTCTTAAATGTCCGTATAATATGCTTTGCTGTGGATTTTTAAGCATCCTTTTCAGCACTCTATGTGCCCTTTCAACCTGAGTTTGAATATTTTTATATCTGGGAAATCTCTGTCATTATTTCTTCAAATATTTCTTCTCTTTCATTTTTTTTTAACCCTCCTTCTAGGATTCTCATTATGTAGATGTTAACACTTCTACTCCTGTTCTTAATTCTATCAATTATTTGTCTTGTCTTTTTGCCCCCTCCCTATGCCTTCTACAATAGTTCTTCTACCCAGTTTTCCAGCTTATGAATTCATCCTCTGTCTGTATCTATTGTGTTTTCAATCCATCCTCTGAGTTCTTTATTTCAAATGATTATGTTTGTAATACCCACTATCATATATTGGTTCTTTTTCAAAACTTCATTTTCATACTTGTATTTCTAAAAATCATCTCTTTGAAGATGTTATTATGTTCACATTCTTGTTCTGTTTTCTCTGGATAAGATTATTATTTTTTTAAATTCTGGTTTATACATCTTACAATTTTCCTTGTGGGTTCATCTATTTTTTCCTAACAGCATTTAGCTGCCTCAGATAGTAATTTTAATCTAAAAGGAGGGGTAAAAATCTAAGATCTGACTTATGCTTCTCCAGGCTAATTTAAAAACTAGAGTGGACCACCTCTAGTGTTCTAGTGTAGCCTCAACTACTTTCCCCATTGTGGCTCCCATACCCTCAAAAACAGTAAAAATAAATAAATAAATAAATAAATAACCACCTACACCCTACACATGTTCGTGCACATACATGCACCTGTGCCTTCCTCCTAATACTACTGTTTTATCTCAGGCAGCAGCTCAGTGTTGCAAATTGCCTTGTTCTTTAATGGGTTGGAGATAGAGTGGGACTGCGTAGTACTGCTCAGAGACCTGAGCTGGTTGCTACTGACTCTGTACCCAAGCTTATCTTGTGATTCAGATGTCATATCCTTAAATATATTGATTCAGTCATTTTATTGGGTGCCAGAATATAAAAATTAAAAAGATGGAATGCATATCTTCAAGGAGTTTTCACTTCACTGGTGTAAGTAGGAAAGTAAATTGGCATTTATTAAATACTGTGATCAGTTCTGTGATGGGACATGCCCGGAGTGTTATGGAAACATATAGGAAGAATTCATTACATGATTTGTGGGAAAGGGAGGAGGTTTCCCCAGTTGAAGAATGGTTTAGGATGAGTCCTGAAGGGTGGATTTTTATTAGATGGGGAAGATTAGAGGAGGCTGGGAGAAAAGGAGCATTTTAGGTAGAGGGAGAAAGTGGTTCATTGGTGAGTGAAACCAGGTTAAACGTAGCTTGTTGTGGCTGCTGCTGTTACTTTTCATGTAGTGTAGCATTGACAAGATAACAGAGGGAATAGGTAAACTGCAGTATGGTAAGATATTGTAGATTTTAAGAAGAGAATTGACATGATTAAGTTTACATTTTAGAAAAATTTTGCTGTGTTAATGGAGAATGAATTGACATGGGACAAGGCAGGAACTATTGACATTCAATAAGAGGATATTGCAGCAATTTAGGGAGAAAAGATGAAGGACTGAAATACCATAAAAGCTGTGAAGATAGAAATAGTTAGATCTAATGATAATTAAGGATATTGAATAGCCAGGGCCCTGTGGTTGATTACATTTGGTTACATTTGATAGTGAAGGAAAGGGAATGTGCCAAGAATAATGTCTTGTTTTCTCTCAGCCATGCCATTCAAAACATTTTATAAATATCTTTTAATTTAAAGAATTACTTAGAAACATGGCAAAGCAATAGCCTACATTTTCTTTTTGTTTTAAAGAACAGTTTCTTGTCCTCGTTCTAAAATACAGGTGTCTCAGAAAATTAAGTGATTTTCCCTAAGATTGTGGCAGACACAGTTGACAGCAAACCTACCCTGAAATGAGGCTATTTACAGTCTTTGTTTGTCCCATTTTGTGTGGACATTAATATGTTTCTTTCAGAATTATTTAACGTGTATGATGATGAGATGCTGCATCAGACCCTCCTGGCACCATTGTATGACATACCTTAACCTTTCTAACATCTGAACTATTCTGATAAAGCATGTCTAGCCCCAGCTATTTCATATACTGAAGTATGGACTTATACTTTGAATCTGATCACTTGTGTTCTTTTTATATTGCAATATTATTTTCTAATAAGAACCATTTTGTGACAATGTAGCTGTGGCAGAAAGCGAAGTAGATGTGTATTATATAGCACAGACTCTAAGATAGATTGCCAAGTGAAGGTACAAAATGGGGTGTATAATATGCTTCTATTGTGGATTTCAACAGACATAGAAGGGGGACACACACACACACACACACACACACACACACACACACGAGTGCATAGAATATCTTCAGAAGGATAAACCAAGATTGAGAACTGGGAGTCAGTGATGGGAGGAAGATTTAATTTTATTTAGTGTGTGTGTGTGTGCGCACACACACACACATATGTTGCCCTGTTCAGATGTTTCACTATATGTTACTTTTTTGTTTAAATTTTAAGTTATACAAATAACTGTATTTGAATGTTCTTGTGAAAATGTAAAGATTCATTTGACTTCCAGCTCTGATAAACGCATTAATTTTGTAATGATAAAGTATAAAATAATTATTTATATAGATAGTAGCCTTCTCTCACACCTTGCAGTAATTTATTCCTATCATTTGTCAGTACGACTACAGACATTAGAGATTAAATAATGAGTTTCAGAAACCATTAAATATCTAAACATTGAATATATAGTTTTGCGAAGATTGCCAGAAGCAGGAAATACAGAAGAGAATGGCTGAAAATTAGTGCTAATCAGTAGAAGTGGGAATTTACTCCTAATATATCAGACTGGGCAGTGAGAGCAAAGGTTGGAAGCCATGAGTACAGTTTTCCAGCAGCAAATCTGAAGGGAATAAAAATGGAGAAATTTGGAAAGATAGTATAGCAAGACAAAGGAAACAGGTAAGTATATCTTTGGCAAAGAAAAAGTAGAAGACAGAAATAGAAAAGAAAGTTGAGACCTCTCAGAGAAGCGAGGAGATGTGGGGAGAAGATTAAACATCACGAATATAATAATGTTGTTTATTGTTGGAGGATTTATATTAATAATTAGTTTCTGCAATGTGGTAGGATTATAATTTTTTGTTAAAAAAGGTAATGCTTGGTACGTATAATGGAACTAAAATACTGCTTGGTCAGAATGAGAAAAGCCAAAGTTCATTTGTCGTAAATAAATTGGTACAGATTGAAATCAGAAAAAATTTAACTGTTTGCCACATTTCAACAAATCTATATTTAAATTATGTTTGTTACATGTACAGATACTTGTATTTTTAGTTCCATAAGCAGTCTCTTTTACAGTAAAAAGCAGAAATTTAATACTTAAAATATATCATGATATTTGATGTTTATGATTTCTTTGGTGATATTTTCTTTTTTAATATTAAAATGATCTCAGGTCCTGATTTGTAGTGTACATTAAATTCATAAAATTAATGACAGAGAAAATAGGTTAAGATTTAGTTATTTAGCTATGTACTCACTAATGTGTTCTTTATGTGTACATTGTTTTTATAAAAATGTAACCATTGATGGATGGATATTTGAGAAACCAAATAAAATGTGAGTTGTAGAATATGGGTGGTAGAATCTGTAAATTTGAACATTTTCATAATGTTGGAAATAATAATAAACAAAATTTCTAATAGAAAAGCTAGTGTGAAAGGAATAGATACTGTATGAAGAGTAAAATGATGTTTGTGAGTTCTTTATGTTTTTCATTGACTTTGAAAAATCTGAAACTTCTTTTAGTGAAATACCAATTTTGTGGTAAATCTAATATAAATTATCTGTTCATTTTTGATAAAAATTGTTTTGTCCTTAAAAACAGTGTTATGAGCATAATACATATGAAAAATTACAAGGGTTTATAAAACATTTTTGAGGTAAAAAAATTAGAGCAGACAAGGATTTAGCAACTATTTAGAACTTTTATTCTTCTATTTTAGGGAATCTGGAAACATCAAAGCTGGATTAGAACATCTGGTAAGTTCTAATTTTCTCTTGAACATTTGCATCATCTTTGATATCTGCATTCTAAATGAACACTTTTGAATGAGCTTTGAATACCTTGTATTGAGAAAGTCAACCATTTCCCAAAGGGTCAGCTTACTGTTATTATGTGAAGGCACTTACATTTTCATTTCTCTTATCATTTCAAGGGAATTTAAAAATTTTTTAAATTACTTTTTTTTTTTGATGTAGAGATGAAATAAAATGGATGACAATCCTTGGATTGATGCTTGCTTTAATTATAAACAAAAATTGTTTGGTGTAGAATTTTTGGCATATCTTGATCTGATGAAAACAAGCTTGTGTTTTAAGAAAAACACAATCAAATATTGCATGCATAAATGTGGTATGTTTTAGCAATTTAGCAGCTTTGAAAGAAGTGCACAGCTTTGTCTTTCCTCGTGTCTTTGCTTTATGAATAATGCATTGGTTTAAACTACATTCAGATTTAGAATATAAAATAATTGAGATGCAAAATTTTTGGTTTAAGTAAACATTTTAGAGAAAAGTGAAATTCAAACTGATTTAGCGTTAAAATCTGTTATTGATCAAAAAACTGGAAAACCCATACAATTGTAATATGTCTGAAATTCATTGAGCCCACTGTATTGAGTGTTTATTACAACATTAAGTAGTTCATTTAAACTGAGCATTACAGAGTCATCCTCCAGTTTCTGGTCAGATCCAAATGTTGAATAATTAATGGTACAGATTCTTTTGTAAATACAGTCTAAGTAGTTTTTTAATGCAAGACTTCATTCGTATATCATACTGTAGCTTTGTTAACTATTAATGTACTTTTGTTCTGCTTCCACAAAAACAAACAGTAGAAAGAGACAGCTTCATTTTGACTTATAGCAGGTTTTTTTTTTTTTACAGGAATTTTCGATTTTTCTTTTACAGCTAATGGAAACTGAGGAAACCTAGACTTTTAAAAGTGATCCTAAAAATTAGAGATAATTATTTAAAAGGAGGATATAATAGAAAATTTGAGCTATGTATTTGGGGATTAGAAGTTAGTAAATAACATGCTTATTTTCATCATTAAAAAGTATTTCCTGAACCACCGTTTATCACTTCATAATAGCACATAGATTTAGGACATATGGACATCAGAATAAACATGTTAATCTGTAACATGATTCCAGTATCAGTTAGGGGCTTACAGCAAGGAAGAACAGCTATCATAGTGCCAAAATGAGGTATCTTTTGGTTTTTATTTTTATTTATTTATTTATTTATTTTTTTGAGATGAAGTCTCACTCTTTCTCCCAGGTTGGTGAGTGATACGATCTCGGCTCGCTGTAACCTCTGCCTCCCAGGTTCAAGCGATTCTCCTGCCTCAGCTTCCCAGTAGTTGGGATTACAGGTGCCCGTCACCATGCCCAGCTAATTTTTTTGTGTTTTTAGTAGAGATGGGATTTCACCATATTAGCCAGGCTGGTCTCAAACACCTGACCTCAGGTGATCTGCCCGCCTCAGCCTCCCCAAATGCTGGAATTACAGGTGTGAGCCACCCGGCCTGAGGTGTCTTTTATACTTTTGATGTAAATTATTATTTATTAAAAAGACTTTATATTTACTTTGTTCATGTTCTTCAGTAAATAAAAATGGCTTTGACGTTTTACTAGTTTAAATTTCATACTTTTTATACTTACTAGTGGCATCTCATTTTCAGTAACTATTTCACACATTTATATTGTACTCATAATTTTATCTAGCAGTGGTTTTTCTAGCCGTGCCTTGGGCTGCCCGGAAAGCTCTCCAAAGCAGTTGGTACTGCAGACTTCCACTACTCACTTTAACCAAAATAGTTCCACTTTTAGTTATTTTGTAGAGTAAACTTTTGAACTTTTTAATAACATTTCATCTGAAGAAAGAGTACTCTGGCTAAAATTATTTTAAAACTTTGTATAAAACATAGCTACTCATTGAAGAATAATTATATATTAAGTATTCTTCCCTGTTCTTGACACTAAGTTATACTTCATTTTTACTTATGTCATATACCTCAAATATATTTCAAAGATAAGCATTTTCGGAATAAAGAGCCAGGACTAGCATACAATTAGGGAGTAAGAAGCAGATGACTTGAATGCATTTTATCTTAGTTGTTTGAAAGACTGTAACTTGATGTTGTAATTGACCCACTAACTGTGAACTATTAACAATATTCATCTATCTGTCTGTTAATCTATCCATTCATCCATCTTGCATTTTACATTAGTAATACTCAGTAAAGTCAGTGATGTTATGAAGAATACCTTTATAAACCTTTCTAAAATGGTTCATGCCTAAAATGGAACTAAACTCACAATTTATGGGTTGAGCATTAATGAAACCTGTTCTGTCTAGTACCTGTGGGCACCTGAGGTTTCTGTCTCTCCCTTTGACTCCTGAGCGGATTGTTTAGAGCCTTCTGGCATATATGTAGCTCTTCTTTGAATTGGCTGTACATCCAAATACAATTAGAAGTATATTTTTGAAGAGATCAGTGTTAAAAAATACATGATAAAATTAAAATGAGAAAAGCACCCTGTACATTTGGAATTAATCTCTTTGTATAGCTTTCTTCAGTCTTTATTTTTAAAAAATTATTTACTTAGATTATCATAGAGAATTAGCATTGTTCTAAGGGGGTAAAAGCCAATATACGTTTTAATAAGTTAAGAAAAATTACATATGTCACTTGTTATACTTGCTACCAGGTAACGTAGTTGCCCTGATTTTGTACTATATGTGTATATGCTCTTCTTGGTATATAGTTAGATGTAACCCTGAAAAGGAGAAAGCAAGTGTGAATCTGTGGAGAAAAGAGTGGAGTAAGTGGACTGTTCCCCTGGAACCTCTTCAAGCACTGATTTCCTTAAGTTTTTTATAATCTCCTAGACCATTGATTCACCTTCTCTGTTTTTTTTGTTTTTTTTTTGTTTTTTGTTTTTTTAAATCATTTATTTCTCTCAATGTTGCCAGGTGATCCTGAGAACTGTCCTAGTATCTCATTTTCCTCAGCTTAAATTTTTTATAATATGCTGTCCAATACCATCTTATTTTTCTTTTCACAAACTCATTCACTACCCATAAAGTCTATACCTCTTTAAAGTTCTAGACTGAGACTTTGAAGGTTGCTGCTCTGTTATCCATTGATGATTCTTGTCTGATGATTGCAAAATATAGATTTTCCAATTCTACTGCTCCCTCCATGTTACAGCCAGCATTCTACAGTAAGGAAGAGCCCACCTCCCTTATTTTATTTATCTATTTATCAGGAGTAAGGACTCATGATTTTAATTTTATTAAATAGGTTATTGTCAATTACTTTCCTTATTTATTTTGATGCTCAGATTGTCCCAGATTTATCAAGAGAGAATCTTTTCATGATGGCTTCTGAGTTCTTATAACAAGTGAGAACCCTGACTCCTAATAACACCGATACAGTTACTCATTTGTTCAGTCATATAATGTACATAAAATAGTTTTAGAATTGCTACAAGCATACTTCGAGTAAAACAACCCTATTAAAAAGAGTTCAAGATTTATTTGCAGTTCCTTTTCTCCAATGAGTATAGTTATGTTATTTATTTGAAATATAGTTGCATTTATTTGTTTCTGTTTGCATTCAATTTAGGTATCTTTGTCCCCAGTCCTATTGATTTAGTTATGTTTGAACATGTATGATGTTAACATGCTTCCAGAGGTCAAAATTATACACTGTGGTATTCTCAAAGAGGTGTGTCGCTCTCTTTCTAGCTGTTCTCCTCACCCTTGTAAATAGCCCAATTTTATTGACTTCTAGTTTATTGTTAATCTTTTTTTTTTTTTTTTTTTTTTGGGTAAAAACCGTGTGTGTGTGTATGTTCTTCTTTTTCCTTTTTCTTCTTTTCTTTTTTTTTTTTTTTTTTCTCCTCTCTAATCACCCCCAAGTGGTATCCTGGAAAAATTACTGTGTGTATCATTATATTTATTGTGTTTCTTTATTAAAGGTCTGAGATTTTAGCCTACTTGCATGTCTTCCATAGTGGTATAGATGCTGGCAGAAGATATGAGATTCCTGAGTCAGAGGCAAAGTGGTTTATTGCTAACAGCACAATGGGTAGCACATGCTTCATGTGTGTATAGGTTTCTCTTGACCCTCAGGTTCCAAGAAGTAATGCTGCATACTCAGTGGGTTTGTGTCATAGCTCAGTGCCTATAACATTTTTTAAGACTTAAAGAAAATGAGTGAAAACACTGCTTATAGTGTTGTGCTTAATTAGATTTTATAATGAACTTCAGAAAATAATTTTTTAAATTTGATGAATAATCACTTACAGATGAAAGTCCTTCTGATAATGACCCCAGGGTTATTTCTGTTATCACAGAAGGGTTGAAGGAGTGGAGGTGGGTGGTTATTAGATGTTGCTCCTGGCACTTTTTTTTTTTTAATGCTGCTCCAAAGTTGTAGAAAGTTGACTCTGAGTTCTTCTTGTTCTATCAAAGGGTGCTGACTCCATGTTTTTTTCTTTTTTCTTCTTCTTTTTTTTTTGAGATAGGAATCTTGCTTGGTCTCCCAGACTGGAGAGCAGTGGTGCAATCTCGGCTCACTGCAACCTCCATCTCCCAGGTTCAAGTGGTTCTCCTGTCTCAGCCTCCTGAGTAGCTGGGACTGCAGGCACCTGCCACCATGCCCAGCTGATTTTTATATTTTTACTAGAGACGGGTTTTTACCATGTTGGCCAGGCTGGCCTCAAACTCCTGACCTCAGATGATCCGCCCTCCTTGGCCTCCCAGAGTGCTGGGATTACAGGCATGAGCAACTACGCCTGGCGTCTCCATGTTTTTCCTACCATTATGTTTTAAAGTTCTGGATAATGTAGTGAGTAGTGACGCTTATTGGACTACTGAATGGGGATTCAAATGTTTACTTTCAGCTGGGGGGTTTAAAGAAGTCAACACGTTTTTGTTTTTCCAATTAAGAAAAAAACATAGGAGAT